AAACAACAGTTGGGAATACAATGTGAAAAACACAAGCCAGTGATTTAAATGATTTTGAACAAAAATGCAAACAAATGAGGTTACCAGGCAATTAAATCAAAGCAATATGACCAATGCCAATTTGAATTTCTGCTAATTTGACAAGAGTAACAATACTTAGAAAACCAATGTAATTAATTGACACTGGGAATCAGTTAAATAAGATACCCTACAAATGGGCAGGAAGAAGGGAGAAGATGGGACACAGCTGAACAAATATGAAAGGGTTGGCTAATTGCCTCCATGAACAACTGCCTCCTTTGCCGCAAGACCAGAAGAACTGGATGGTGCCTGGCTATCATTATTGAACATTTTGATCAAAGATTTTATGGAAGAATCCTGATCAAAAGGGGTAAAATGTAGAACAGAATTTTAAATTCTCATGGAGTCTAGACCTTCTGGAGCCATGGAGGCTGGATGAATCCCTGAAACTATTGCCCTGAGATAACCTTTAAACGTTAAATCAAAAATATCACCTGAAATCTTCTTAAAACCAAACAATAGCAAAACTAGTAAAGATCTGCCTTGAACTTGTACTCTTTTAAGATCTATCTATATGGGATCAAATTGACAACAGCAACTCAAAAGATTAGATAGGAACCTTAGGAGGCAGTGAGTTTATGTTAACAGGGGAGGATCAACTTCGAAAAGGAGGGTGAGAATGATTGCACAACTTGAAGAATGTAATCAACGCCACTGAATTGTACATGTAGAAACTGTTGAATTGGTGTATGTTCTGCTATGTATATTCTCAACAACAACAAAAATAAGTTAAAAAAGAAGCAATGGAACTGGAGGATACAGGTCATAAAGGGACTTATAGACAGTTTTAGTCTGAGTGAGATGGAGAAAAAATGTGAAAGGGAGACTCAGCAGGGAAAGCAAAAATGGTTGAGGCTGGGGGAAATGAGGAACAATTAAGGAAAGAGAAAGACAAGCGTAATGTGCAAGCCCTCACTCTTTTTCTCAAGGCTTTCAAACAAATCTCAGATGGGCACAGCCCCAGTCAGCTTTCTCCCCACCCCACCCTATATCTCACCACAAAATGTGCAACAAGAGCAGCTGGAAAGAACAGAGCAACTAGATTGCAAACTGCCTGCCACAGCATCTCTAAAATGTCTGAATCATGAAATAGGTTATCTGAGTCACCTTCCAATTTCATCTATTATCTCCACATTGCCTGGTCCATAGTAAATTCCCAGAAAATTTGGACTGAATAAAATACCCTTGAAAAATTAATCTACAGAGTTACAGTTTTAGACAGATGGCTGAACCAGACTAAAACAAGGACTAATTTTTTCTCTTTGGCACTACCAAGATGCTTGTGTAATAACTTCAAGTTGACGGAAAGACTATGTAAACTAGAGCCATACACTTCAACTAAAACAAGCTCCCTTTCTGACTGAGTTGGTTTAGCATTATAATCTCGTGATTCCTTCAAAGACCACTGAAACCAACTTCACAGGAGATTGTACCAAACACGTAATAGCTTGGTGAGGTTTTTCTCAACTTTCTAAACAATGAGTATCAGTCAACATCTGTACAGACAAAAATTTATCAGCAAAAAGCATTTTATGGTCAAGACAGTTAATACTGGTTTATTAGCAATCCAACTCCAAGACAGCAAACGGTGGTACTGGCTGCCCTCTGCAGCGGTCTGGTGAATTTAGTGAAGCACTGAGATCAAGAAAATGCCAAATGCATGTAACTAACTCTCCTTGAAATCCAGAAATGTTGGCAAGAGAATGAGTTCTTAAATCTAGGATTTTACAAGTAGAGAGTATATGGCAAAGTAACACACTATCTCCACAATCACTGGGCCCCACCATTATGTTCAGTTGTTTGCCAGGAGAGAGGAGGTTTGTGTGTTTATTTTGAGACACCATGGGAAAATCTGAGGTGAATGTTAGTCAGTACTAATTCAAAAGTCAACCACAGCTATAATACTATAGAAGACTTCTCAGAGAATTCCCTGGACTGAGAGCTACCATGATGTGTGCTTTTAAAATATGTCCATAAATTCTTTGAATCTACTCCCATGAAGAAACGAGTCTAACCACCACTGACCACTCTAACCAAGATCACAGTAGAGAGTCCCAGACAGAGCAGGAGAAAACTGTGGAACAAAAGTCAAATTCACAAAAAAGACCAGACTTACTAGTCTGACAGACTGGAGGAATCCCTGAAACTATGGCCCCCAGACACCCTTCTAACTCAGAACTGAAGCTACTCCCTAAGTCCACCTTTCAGCCAAATATTAGGCAGGCCTATAAAACAAATGGAGCCCTGGTGGTGTACTGGTTAAGAGCTTGGCTGCTAACCAAAAGGTCGGCAGCTCAAATCCACCAGCCACTCCTTGGAAATCCTATGGGGCAGTTCTACTCTGTCCTATAGGGTCACTATGAGTCAGAACTGACTCGACAGCACCTAACAACAACAACAACATAAACAATAACACCTACGAGGGACGTACTTCTTAGATCAGTCAAGGATATGAGACCAAACGGGCAACACCTGCCCAAAAGCAAAGATGAGTAGGCACAAAGGGGCAAAAAAACCTGACGAATGGAAACAGGGAACCCAGGGTGGAACGGGGGAGAGTGGTAACACATTGCAGGGATTGCAACCAATGTCACAAAACAACTTGTGTATAAATTTTGGAATGAGAAACTAATTTGTTCTGTAAACTAAAGCACAATAAAATGTTTAAAAAAAAAAAGTAAACAAATGGAGTCTAATTTTCCTTCCCTTGAATATGAGCTGGTCTTAATGACTTGGTTCCAATGAGGAAAATGAGGTGGAAGTAACATCATGTGACTTCTGAAACTAGATTAGAAAAGGAGAAACAGCATCTATCAGCTCTCTTTTGGGTCTCTCACCTGTGAAGCCCCACTGCCGCACTTTGAGGAACCCTAGGCCAAGTGAAGGGGTGATGTGAAAGTATTTCAACTGACAGGCCCACCTGGGATCCCAATCAACAATCAGCATCAACCAGCTGATTTTACATGTTATCTCAACCATGTGAGTGAGCAAGACTTCAAGAAAATTCCAACTGCCAACCACCATCTGACTATAACTGCAGGAGCAGGAGAGACCCTGAGGAAAAATCATCTACCTGAGGCCAGTCAGCTCTCAGAACCATGAGAGATAATGATAATAAATTAGTGTTGTTATTTTACAAGAGAGGTCTGCAAACTATGGCCCTTAGGTAAAATCTGGCCTGTAGCCTGTTTCTGTGCAGCCTGTGAGCTAAGTATGGTTTTTTCATTTTTAAACGGTTGTAACAAAACAAAACAAAGAAAAATACGCAACAGAGATTATGTATAGCCCTCAAAACATAAAATATTTATTTGCTGTCTATTTATAGAAAAAGTTTGCTCACTCCTGTTTTAAGCCACTCAGTTTTCATATGGTTTAGTACGCAGTGACAGATAACTAGAATAGGTGGTACCTTTGGAACAAAACCATTGGTGAGCCAATGCTGGATTCAGGGAGCCATGAAAGTCACACTGAAAGGCCTCTACCCAACTGTTATCTGCAAGTCAGCACCTCTCCTATCAATAATTACTATCATACAATATTATAATTTCACAAACACACTTGCTTTGTCAAGGCAAAAGGGATGTTAATGTGATTCAGCAACCAAGGAGAGTATCTGAAACATGTAACTTACATTCAATTCTACATTTAAACTCTAAATTCTAATATACTTATCAATAATTTTAATAATAATAGCTGATATTACTGAGGCTTTAATATGTACCAGACACTGTTCTAAACCATCTTATATATATATTACCTCAGCTAAACTTCATGTCAACCCGTATCTCCATTTTTCAGATGAAAAAACAGGCACAGAGAGATGATCTAGCCTGTCCAAGATCACACAGGTATTAAGTATGGAGTCAGGATTGGGCAGTCTGACTCTTGCAACCATCAGCTTAACCATCGCTCCCCTCCAGAAAATGCCTGTCATAATCACGACACCCAGTAATGGTTTAAAGTATGATGCTGGCTTCCATAGGGAGGGCAGCACCCACTGATCTCACTGGCCAGGCTTCTGTGGGTGCCCAGGCATAGTCAAGAGGGCTATCCATCCTAGAAGTCAGGGAGTAGAACCTGGGCCTCTATCCCTTTTCCTGAACAATAGCATTAATTCTTCTGTTGAGAAGATACGAAGCTCCCAAAGTGGCCCCAAACTATGGTTGGTTATAAGCTGTTCTTTCCAAAGCATCTAAGGCTTCCCCACATATTTACTCTGGTTTCTGTCAATCAACACACAGAAAACTTATGCTTGCCAAATGACTGGTTGTCATAGGAGACACAAGAAAGGTTCTTCACTGCAAGCTAAACAAAATCAACGGACTGATCAAGAACCAATCAATATCCAAATGATATTCAAGTCATTGTTAGGACGAGTGATCACAGAGAATGTGTTGGGTGTCAGTTTCCTCATTTATAAAGTAGGAATAATATACCTATCTTGATGATTTGTTGTGGAGACTAGAGCCACGATACACAAAGGGTCTAATCCACTGTCTAGCATCCAATTAATGGTAACTATAATTACTATATTTTAACAAAGAAAATACCGCTCTTTTAGAGAGCTAAAGATTGGCCAATGACATTTCATTGAGTAACTGGAAAAACTGTTAATCACAAAGCAAGGTCCAGAATCATGAAACAAGATGTAGAGCAAGAGCTGCTGCTTATCCATTATCTTAGTTACACATTTTCCATCTTCCTTTGTAATAAGTCTTTTCTACATTGGAGGATGTTGTTTTAATTATTTTTAAAAATGGTTCCTTCACATTATTTTCTTCATCTTAACTTGGCACAGATAACTAGCAATCAAAGTGAGGAAGGAAAAGGCAATGCTACGATTTCAAAAATAAGCGAAGCTACCTCAGCACATTTAGGAAAGGCAGGGCCAGATAGCAGCAATCACCTTGTCTACTCACCAGAAGGGAAAAATAATGAGGCGGCTGACAAAAAATACGGCAGAGAAGATGAAAAACAGGATGTTACAGGTTTGCTTCCATCTGGCATAAGAAAACATTTTTGCAGACTGAAAACATAGAAAGAAACATCATTCAGATAATTAAAGTGATACTAGTATAAAATTTAAAAATAAATATTTATAAATGAAATTATATGATGTCTTGGATTTGCTTCAAAACAATCTGGGTAGGGGGTGGGGTATGGATAGACAAACAGATGATAAAAGATTGGCCATACTCGTAACTGCTGATGCTAGATGGTGGGTCCACTGGCTCTGCTATACTATTCTCTTGATTTCTTTATATATGTTTGAACTTTTCCATAATATAATGTTAAAAGGTACGTTAAAATGATTGCAGTGTTACTCCTCTCTTTCACAAGTGCTGCAAGTTAGCAGAATTAATTTTAGCATGCATTTTATTTGGGCATTTATTTACCATCTCCATTTAACTGGGAGGAGTGCTGGATTGAAAAGAGGTCAGGATATGAGTGAAGTCCTGGACTAGGCTGGGAATGTTTCCATCAAAGTGGCTACTTTAAGGCAGATGAAAGAAGAGGTGGAGTCAGGAGGCAACTCCCAGAGCCCTGTCCTGGTGGAAATGAAGTTTCAAACACTACATTTTTTCTAACTTATTTCATGCTAATCTACACTGCTTATATTATATGTGTTGAATAAAAAGAATTAAAGAGTTGTTTAATGTGGTGTTAATTGATGAGGCTTCTCTATTACATTATCCAGTGAGGGCCCAAGGCTGAAAGTTTCTAGTGATGTGGGAGTAGGGGGTAAGGGTGTGTAGGAGTTGCTGGAGGGCAGATGGTCCCTCTAGCTAACATGGCCTAGACCTGGGCAGTTTCAGAACTGAAATCAGCCTTGGAAGCTCAAGGCCACTCAGGAACAAGAGAGGCAATATATTTACACTTCAGGAAGGGTTCACATTCCATTCCTCATACTTTTCAATACTTATCAAGGGAACAGCTTCAATTGCTGAGAGAAGGTTAGTATGCTGGCTGGGTGGGAAATGGGTGTGGGGAGAAGGGCCAGAAGTTTAGAGTGACTGGAATGGAGTGGGTAGCTGTTTGAAGGGTCAGAGGCCAGGTCAGGGTGGTGAGCTAGAAATTTCATAGGCATAAAGAGAGAATTTCCTTAAGCCCACGTGTGAGGGCAAAAAGTACACACAGTATTTTCTGGACTGTGTAATGATCAAATACCAGACAGTAATCCCTCTTCTTTGCTAAGTATTAGTCAAGATACTGTTAAAGTGTTACTTCCTGGATCCAAATTTGACCATGTGGAAAAATTAGAGAAGATCAGGAAGATGTCTGAAGAAGGTAAAAGGTTGCCTATCAGGGAGAATGGTAGATGTTGAGGTGGTTTTCCCTTATGAAGAAAAAGCTAAGAAATGACCCACCAACTGTCTTGGGGAATATGAAAGATTAATAGGCTCCATCTTTAGGAAGGTCTAAACAGGGGCAAAAATTGTACCATGTCTGGGTTCAATTAGAATTTGACTGAGAGGACACACACTAAAACAAACTACCCAAGGAAGCTGTGGAATATGCACCCCTGGAGAACGTCAAAAATGGGCCCCATGCCACTACTAAATGTTGTCTCTACCACCAGCTGATGGAAGGTACTAGTCCTACTTGCTGAACCTTAAATTAGATCATGACTTGTGAATCAAGAATGATTCATTACCACTAACAACATAAAGTTGTTCTCATAGTTTACCCATGAAGGAACTCTGAGTTTGACATTTCATTTTTCTTCTGTTTTTTACCTAAGGACCTCAGAACATTTTGGAACAGTAATGAGCTAAAGTTCACAATATACCCTAACGGATAGATATAACTTCTCCTGTTATACTTGGGGAGAGAAAACAAAGCATTAAGTGATTTGCCCAAGCCACATAGGGAGTTACGCTGCGTCAATGACAGGGTGGGGGTGGGGGGATGGGCAGATGTGAGTGGGCAGGGACTACCATACAGATTGCTAGTCCCTAGTCTGAAGATCTAACTCTCCTTTAATAACATAATGAAGCTGTTTTTACAGTGGACACACACTAAAGGCAATTGAATTAGAGGGTTTAGAAGCAACAGAGTAGCATAAAATTAATTCTTAAGTCATGGCCAATGTGGTCTTAATTTTCAGGCAGGGTTACTGAGATAGGATCAGAGAAGGGGGTAATTGTAATAGAGACGGCTGCATTCAGAGAGGAACACATGGTGAAGCTGGCACAATCCTTCCTTTGCTAAACCATGTGCTGCCCTGAAGCACATATAGTAACATTGACCTTTAGAAAGGGATTTACTTGTTGAATTAGGAATTATATACAAGGGAGACACAAAATTCTGTATACAGTTAATATTTCAACAGTAGCTAGTTGCTTCAAAATGGTTTCAAACGAATTGTAGTTATACCTAGAATAGGAGTTGGCAAATTACAGTCCAGCCCATGGGCTAAAGCTGTTTGGCCCCTGCAGTTAAGAATGATTTTCACATTTTTAAAAGTATGTGAAAATATATAAAAACAAAGAAAAATATGTGACAGAAATCACATGTGGCCCACAACACTATAATCATCTGGCCCTTTCCCAAAAACTTTGCTGAACCCTAATCTAGAAGAACAGTACTCTCCGAAATTGAATTTCTTTCAGATCAACCTGTATTCAAACATTAGCCTTAATGGGGCAATCCTGAACATGAAATGGGTTAGCATCATTTTCCCTGGATTCTTTATAAATGAGCATAGTTAAATGAGTAACTAAGTGGCTAGGAGAAATATTGCTGTCAGTCTAGAATGAGCCCAGACAGTGAAGAGGACCATTCTGTCTCTGCATCAGGATAAACAGGAACCAGCACGTAACAGAAAAATGCATAGAAAACAATCCTAAATTTGCTTGGTTCCTCAAATTTGTGGGATATGGCACGAGGAAAACTCTTTGTTTTAATGTTCCCTGTTCTACAAAACACTCTAATTCCTTTTTCTCCTTAGAACATAAATGTCATTAAAAAAAAATAATAATAATTTCTCATTCCTTAAAGCAACATTTTGGGCTGAAGGAGGATCAGTGGGGGGCAGTGCAAGTATTCAGTGAGTACTCAAGCAATGGCTTAAGTGAACACAAGGTGCCTTCCAACTTTGAGAGTCGACAGTGTCATACATTCAGGTTTTCCTTTTAAAAGGTTTGAGTTCATTCCTTCTGCAAATGTTTCATCTTCCTTCCTGAGTCATTTGCATTCAACCTTCATAAGTGGAATCCCCCAAATTAACCTCTCTTTCATACCATGGAGAAGGTTTGAACATAAAACTAAAAGGTTTCCTTTCTTTAATCTTGAAGAAAATGAGGATCCAGGGACATTCTCCAGCTTTGGGTGTTTTCAGGACACAGAGTGCTGCTAAATCACTCACAGATAGTGCCTTGTGGGAGGAGTTGCAGAAACCCAGGACATGGGTACTGTCATTACTTTTTTAATGGCAAGTGTTTACCTCCAGCCAAATGTCAGCCACATCATGCACAATCATCACAAGGGTCCCACTGCGAATATAATTAGCGCACCAAGAGAAGCTCATCAAACTAATAGCAGCCAGGTGATGGATGATGGTAGCGAAATAATCCTATATAATGAGGGGAAAATGGAAACCATTAAGCAAATACAGTTATTTCCCAATTAGTGAAAGAGCTAATAATAATGAAAAAAATCAATAACTTACATCTGCGACATGTTTTGAAACTTATAACTTTTATTCTTAAAAACAATCCTCGTGAGGGGGATAGAACAAGTACTGCCTTTCATTAATGAAGTCATTGAATTTTGGGGCAGCACTGAATATACATACACACACACACATAACATATACATACACACACAAGCATATTTCTGTGTACATTTGTATTTATTGTTTATTATCTGCCTAATTACAAAAGGAAAATAAACAGGTAAAATGAAACTACGCAACCATTAAAACAAGAATTACTGCATATGAAGTAACAAATGAAAGTGGAATAACTATACAGTATTCCACTATGTAGGAGCCCTGGTGGCACAGTGGTTAAGCGCTTGGCTGCTAACCAAGAGGTTGGCAGTTTGAATCTACCAGCTGCTCCTTGGAAACCCTATGGGGCAGTTCTACAGTTCTACTCTGTCCTATAGGGCCACTATGAGTCGGAATCGACTCAACAGCAACGGGTTTATTTTTTTTTTTGTCTCCCCTTATCTGCAGGGGATATGTTCCAAGACCCCCAGTGGACACCTGAAACCACGGGTAGTACCGAACCCCTTATATACTGTTTTTTTCTATACGTACATATGATAAAGTTTAATTTATAAATTATGCACAGTAAGAGATTAACAACAATAACTAATAATAAAATAGAAGCACTTTATGGCTTCTCTTTGGCATATCCAAATGGCCAGCATCACTACTCTTATGCTTTGGGGCCATTATTAATTAAAATAAGGGTTACTTCAACACAAGCACCGTGGACTGTGGTTGACCATGGAAAGTGAAAGCACGGATAAGGCGGGACTACTGTATTAGCAAATCCAGGCTAAGAAAAGCTACTGCAATTGAGAATAAAAACTTAAAAGATTTTCTCCAAGAAAGATATACAAATGGCCAATAAGTACTTGAAAAGATACTCAAAATCATTAGCCATCAAAAAAAGTAAATGAAAACCACAATGAAAAATCATTTCATACCTACTATGATGGCTATAATTAAAAAGATGAACAATAACAAGTGTTGGTGAGGATATGGAGAAATTGGTATCCTTATACATTGCTGGTAAGACTGTAAAATGGGGCAGCTGCTTTGTAAAACAGTCTGGCAGTTCCTCAAAAGGTTAAACACAGAGTTACCATATGGCTCAGCAATTTCACTACTATGTATACATCTAAGAGAAATGAAAACATATGTGCATACAAAAACTTGTATATAAATGTTGACAGCAGCATTATTTGAAATAGCCAAGAAGCAGAAAAAGCCCAAATGTCCATGAACTGATAAATGAATAAATAAAGTGTGTCATAGCCATACAATGGAATATTATTCAGCCATAAAAAGGAATGAAGTATTGATACAAGTTACAATGTCGGCGAACCTTGGTGAAAAGATCACGCGAAAACAGCAACAAAAACAACAACAACAAAAAACTAGGCACGTAAAACTACATATTATATAATTCCACTTATATTAAATATCCAGAACAGGCAAATCCATGGAGACAGAAAGTAGATTATTGATTGGCTAGGGCAGGGTAGGTTGGGAGAAATGGGAAGTGACTGCTAATGAGTACAGGGTTTCCTTATGGGGTGATGCGAACATTTTAAAATTGATTGTGGTGATGGTTGCACAACTTTGTGAGTATACTGAACACTGTTGAATTGTATACTTTAAGTGGGTGAACTGCATGGTATGTGAATTATATCTCAACAAAGTTGTTAAAAATAAACGCAAATGTTTGAGTTTTCTGGCAACCAAACCAAAAGAGTAAACATGATATTAATAATAATAGCTTAATTTATTGAGTACTTACTATATACCAAAAAAATGCTTTATATGGATTAACTTGTTTAGTCCTCGCAACAACCAGAGGAGAGAAGAACTATTATTAACTCTATTTTATAAATGAAGAAACCAAGTTTAGGAAGTTGAATCAACTTGCTCAAGGTATTAGTGAAGAGTGAAGACAGGAATTCAAAGCCAGGCAATCTGGATCCCGGGCCCGTGATTTAACCACCTCCCAATGATTTTATGTCTCTGAAGATATGTATTTACAAAACACATTATACATATTTATATTTTGAAAAACACGCTTGATGCACCTGTAAATAATAAAAGGGAAATCAACCACTGCAAAAACAAAGGCAGGAGAAATACAGGTTCAACCTTTGAGTTTACCTCTGAAGACTACCTAAAAACAATTATTGTCAAACCTATCTCTTGAGAAAATGACTCAATCAATTAATTTTTGATGTATTCTTAGCCTAAACTAAAGTCAGTAAGTCTTAGCCATTATTGAGTTATATAGACAAGGATATCATTTCTATAAAATTTTTCACAGTATGTTTTCATGCTCAGAGTCTACAAGTTCACATCATTTAGTCAAGCCACCTTGGTTTTATCTCCTTGATATTGAATTAAATTTAATTTTATCATACGTATTTTACTACAAACAGACCTTTTATACGGAGTGTAGCATATGAACTATCTTTGAGTCTGTATCATTTCATCTGTATTGCTAACATATATGATGAAATCTTGTGACTGCCTTCTGAGACCAACATGGTTTGCTGGACCAACAAATAGGAATCTGTAAAAATCAAACAGGTCCTGAAACGCCTCACTCTGTGACTTCAAGGAGGTATTTTGCATGCCTATGGCTCAGTTTCCCTCCAATAAAGCAACGTTAATAATTCCTGAAGCAATGTTTCCTCACATTGATCTTTGATGAATTAAGGAAAAATAGTTTCAAAGACTTTGAATACATAAAATATAATTATATAAAGTGGATTGTAATCAACTAAAAGATGTGGTTGCAAACTAAAACCGCCAGCAGTCTTTCTTTGTGTTCAAGGACATTAAATTCCCCAACCAAAAGAAAGAAACAGACAATATAATGGAGATTTCTATTCTTATAAACAGAGTGAAGCTTCAAAATTAGTTTCTATAACCCTTTAATTACCAAATTTTTATTTTTTTAAAAATGTTTTTGATGGCATTTGTTTTCACTACTGGAATGCATGCTTACCAATCAAGTATGTTTAAATTTTTGGTTGGCAATATGGATTTTGAGAAATATGATCTGGTAATATAATCCACCAATGAGGCTAGTGGCACTTCGGCACCACTGATCTGTGGTATGACAATAGACCAATAAGAACTAAATTCAGAATTCACTGAGGGCACCTTTCCTTTAGGTTACATGGGGAACTTCTGGTTTTCCAAATATGACACAGAAAAACCAAAACAAACCCATCAGGGCTCCCTAACTATCACAAGGAAAGTCATAATTATGCTTGCAAGCCTTATCTCACAGAAATAAAGGGGAAAAAAGGCCAAAGTTTACAAAACTAACACATCCAGGAAGCATCACCTTATAGAATGCTCAACATACACAATAATGAGGCTCCAACTCCCGTCTACTGAGCTTTGTGCATTTCAAAAGGGACCCACCTTGACACTAAATGCATTAGAACTGGAATAACATACTACCTACAACGAGGTCCAGAGGCATAAAAAGTGACTGGTATACTGTTTTACCAATGGTAACGAAAGGAATGATGTTTTACTACAAAGATTTACCAAGGAACCAAAGCATGAGTATAATTTGCACTATTATAAGCAAGGATGGCGAGACTTTGTCTCACATACTTTGGACATGTTATCAGGAGGGACCAGTCCCTGGAGAAGGACATCATGATTGGTAAAGTAGAGGGGTCAGCGAAAAAGAGGAAGACCTTCAACCAGATGGACTGACACAGTGGCTGCAACAATGGGCTCAAACAGCAACAACTGTGAGGATGGTACAGGACCGGGCACTGGTTCGTTCTGTTGTACATTGGGTCACTAGGAGTCGGAACCAACTTGACAACACCTAACAACAACAATGTACCATAAAAAAGGAGTCGTGATGGCACCATGGTTAAGTGCTTTGCTGCTAACCAAACGGTCTCAGTTCGAACCCACCATCCGCTCCGTGGGAGAAAAGACCTGGTGATCTGCTCATAAAGATTACAGCCTAGGAAACCCTATGGGGCAGTTCTACTCTGTCATAGTGGGTCACTATGAGTTGGAATCGACTTGACAGTACACAACAACATGTGCAATAAAAAGCAAAAAAAAAAAAAAAGTTACGAATAAAACTAAACACATATAAAAGCACAATTTAAAGATAAGAATTTTGGACAGAGGATGAAAGATTTTGAAGATGCTAAAAAAGTAGCTTTGTAAATAAGACACTTACCTTCCTCTTGACATCAGAGCCAAGGCTAAATATCAGAGACCAGTAAAAACTCATCTCTAAAATGTAGTACCAGTACTGGGATGGCAGCAAGGGCTGAGGAAAATAAAATTACATATTACTTTAAATGCCACCATGTAAACAACTTATTTTAATGCATTAAAATTTATTATTTATACCTATTTATATTTCACATAATCCCATAAAATAATAATGATTTATAATCCAACTGCCAAAAAGGAATTGGAGACAAAATTTTAAGCTATTTTATTTCTGACAGGACAAGTATTTCAAAATCAAGTTAAATGTTTTATTTAAATGTTAATAAAACTACCACAGGTATAATTGCCTTATGTTAGCTTATTAAGAGTTAAATTAGAAAGATAATTTAAAAATCTTTACTTAAGAGCAATGGCAAGTCTGTTGTGCTGGTCTCACAATTTTTCTTGTTTAACATTTCTTGAATACTACTCAAAATCTGATGTGCTAACCTCTTTTCTGGTGAGAGACTGGCAATCAGAATTGGCCTATTCTCAAATAGGGCAGTAATAAAGTATGTACAATTAATTCAGGACTCCAAAAATCACTTGCGAAAAAACAAAATTTCTACAGCTAAAACCTTCCTTAATAAATTTATAGTTGGGGGTGAAAGTGCTTATTTTTGCTAAGTTGAGACATTATACTTGTTGATGTGATAGATTGTTACATTAATGGCCCCCAATGAATCACACCTTCTGATATCAGTGCCCTTATGTAGTCTCCTCCCATGCTGATGCCGGGCTTGACCCTGGGCTTTGATCAAAGGGACATAAACAAACGTGATTGAAACAGAGACTGCATACATACCATGTGAGAAACCTGAGCTACCCTGCTGGAGAGGCCACAAAGAAGAGGATCAAGGTGTCAACTGTCAAACATGTGAATAAAGGCATCTGGGACACGAGCCATCCTCTAATCAATATAACAACTGACTAGAAATGAATGAATGAACTCAACTAATACCACATAGAGCAGAAGAACTGCTCAGCTGAGCCTATCCCCAATTGCCAACCCACATCATGAGCAAATAAAAGGCCATTGCTTTCAGGCACTGTTTTGGGGATGGTTTGTTATGTATCAATAGATAACTAACACACCTAAGAAGGTAAGAGTAAGCTGGAGATGGAAGATAATAGGATTGAGGTTTAGTCTATATAATACCTAGGTCCCCTTTATGGACTAACTTTTTTTTAATTCTTTAATGCTGAAGCTAACACATTTAAAGGACTAATTTTTCTGGTCAACTCATTATCCTTGATAAGTCCACAAAAGAATGAGACAGATTTTCTGCTTTCTTCTATGACAAACAAGCCTGTATAAGACTAACGCTTGAGGCGGGGCCAAGATGGCGGAGTAGACAGACACTTCCGGTGGACCCTCTCACAACAAAGACCCAAAAAAACAAGTGATTTGATTATATATGGCAATCTGGGAACCCTGAACATAAAAGGCAGAGTTGAGGAACTGGACTGAGTGGTGGGGGAGGGTGAGACAGTTCGGAAATAGCGAGGAGTTGCCAGACCTGATGTGGCGAGAGCCTGAGCCCTTCAGGCTTGATCACCTTGGCGGTGAGTGGTGAGGCAGGCAAGCAGCTGTGCTTGGGAGGCATGTTTTCTGCACCAGGAGAGATCCAGCACCAGAGACTCTACACTGCCACCCAGAAACAGTGAGAAGCAGCCCTCCACGAAAGATAAGTACTTGCATACAGCTTACCGCGGATCAAAAACACCCCCCTTAGGGAAAAACCTTGCTCCCATTAACCTCCCAACTCCCTGCTCTGCACTGGGTCCTGGACCAGCTTCAGCAATGGCCAAGTCCCCTGGGCCAGAAGTAGGATCTGTCACATGCATAGACTTGTGTGGGCCCATCTCAACAGTGTAGGCCCTCATTACCGCAGTACAACAAGGTATATACTGGAACTCTAACTTAAACTGTTTCAGCTGTGAAGTGGCAGGTTCTTAATATTTGACACTGCTCTGCCCATTGAGCAGGGTCTTTATCTACCCACATCAGGGGCCTGAGGACTGGTGGCACCACCCACACCACCTAGCCACTTGTGATGGGGGCCCATGAATAAGAGGTGCCCCCAATCCTTGTAGTCAACAGCATTAGGTGCTCATTGTCTGGCTGCAAAACCCACCCACTTATGCACTGTAGGGAATGGTGACACGCCTTCCTCCTGGACACTTGGGGGCAGCCGTCAGCCCCCTGCCTTGCTCAGAGTATGTCCCCCTGCTGCAGCCAGATGCCTGTGCCTACACCAATCACCTGTACCTGTCTAAGACTATAAGTGAGAGCCTACACTACACACCTGGTGGCTATCTACCAGGGCACTTGAGCTGAATCCATACAGGAGGAGTGGGCGGACTCCTGAGCTCACATACCTAGTGACAGATCTAACCATCTGCTGACAGGACATTAGAGCTTCAAAGGTGCCAATAATCAAACTAGCTCATATGAACAGCTTATTTGGGCAAAACCAAACAAAACAAGAAGCTAGGAAACAGTAAGCAAACATAAAATAAATAAATATGATAACACTGATGGCTCGGAGACAACAGTCAATATCAAATCACATAAAGAGGCAATCCATAATGGCTTTAGCAAGCTCCCAAAATAAAGAATCTAGAAATTTTCCAGAGGAGGAAAATTTCTTAGAATGACCACAGACAGAATACAAAAGATTAATATACAGAACTCTTCAAGAAATTAGGAAGGAAATTAAGCAAAACCCAGAACATGCAATAGAGGAAATTAAAAAGATTAGAGAAGAGCATACTGACAAATTTAATAGGCTACAAGAATCCATAGAGACAGCAATCAGAAATCCAAAAGATTAACAATAAAATTCAGAATTAGACAACTCAATAGAAAGTCACAGGAGCAGAACTGAGGCAATGGAAGTCAGAATCAGTGAGACTGAAGATAAAGCACTTGACACAACTTATTTGAGGAAAAATCAGATAAAAGGATTTTTAAAAAATGAAGAAATCCAAAGAATTATGTGGGACTCTATCAGAAGGGATAACCTACGAGTGATTGGAGTACCAAGATGGGGGGATAACAGAAAATACAGAGAGAATTCTTGAAGATTTGTTGGCAGAAAACTTCCCTGATATCGTGCAAGACGGCAAGATAGCTATCCAAGATGCTCATCAAACCTCATGTAAGGTAGATCCCAAAAGAAAGTCACCAAGACGTATTATAATCAAACTTGCCAAAACCAAAGACAAAGAGAGAATTTTAAGAGCAGCTAGGGATAAATGAAAAGTCTTCTACAAAGGAGAGTCAATAAGAATAAGCTTGGACTACTCAGCAGAAACCATGCAGGCAAGAAGGCAATGGGATGACATATATGAAGCTTTGAAGGAAAAAAAACTGCCAGCCAAGAATTATATAGCCAGCAAAACTGTCTCTCAAATATGATGGTGAAATTAGGGCATTTCCAGATAAACAGAAGTTTAGGGAATTTGCAAAAACAAAACCAAAATTACAAGAAATACTAAAGGGAGTCCTTTGGTTAGAAAATCATTAACATTAGATAACAACCCAAGACTAGAACACAGGACAGAGCAACCAGAGATCAACCCAGACAGCGAAGTCACAAAAGTAAATCAAAGCTAAAACACTGAAAATTGGGAAACAGATGTCAATACGTAAAAGATGACAACATTAAAACAAAAAAGAGGGGCTTAAAAATGTAGACATAGATTTTTCATATGGAGAGGAAGGCAAGGCCATATAAAGAAACAAAAGACTGGTATAAACTTAGAAACAGGGGTAAATATTAAGGTAACCACAAAGGAAACTAACAATCCTACAAGTCAAAATAAAAAACTAGAAAAATATACAGACTCAGCAAACACAAAATCAACAACAATGAAAAAGATGAAGAGAAAATACATAAAGAAAAACGACTCAGCACAGAAAATTAAGTGGAACAAAGAAACTGTAAACAACACACAAAAAAAAGACATCAAAATGACAGCACTAACCTCATACCTATCAATAATTACACTGAATATAAATGGTCTAAATGCACCAATAAAGAGACAGAGAGTGGCAGATTGGATAAAAAAAGCACAATCTGTCTACATGCTGCCTACAAGAGACACACCTTAGACTTAAAGACACAAACAAACTAAAACTCAAAGAATGCAAAAAAACATAGCAAGCAAACAACACTCAAAAAGAGCAGGAGTGGCAATATTAATCTCTGAAAAAATAGACTTTAAAGTAAGATCCACCATAAACGATAAGGAAGGACACTATATAATGATTAAAGGGTCAATAAATATTTATTCACCCAATGACAGGGCTCCAAAACACATAAAACAAACTCTAACAGCACTGAAAAGACAGATAGACAGCTCCACAATGGTAGTAGGAGGCTTCAACACACCACTTTCAGTGAAGGACAGAACATCCAGAAAGAAGCTCAGCAAAGACACAGAAGAGCTAAATGCTACAATCAACCAACTTGATCTCATAGACATACCGAACACTCTACCCAACAGCAGCCAAGTACACTTTCTTTTCCAACACACATGGAACATTCTCGAGTATAGACCACATATTAGGCCATAAAGCAAGCCTTAACAAAATCCGAAGTATCGAAATATTACAAAGCATCTTTTCTGAACATAAAGCCATAAAACTAGAAATCAACAACAGAAGAAGCAAGGGAAAAAAAATCAAACACATGGAAACTGAACAACATCTTGCTCAAAAATTACTGAGTTATAGAAGAAATTAAGGATGGATTAAAGAAAATCATAGAATCAAACAAGAATGAAAACACATCCTACCAGAACCTTTGGAACACAGCAAAAGCAGTGCTCAGAGGTCAGTTTATAGCAAAAAAATGCACACATCCAAAAAGAAGAAAGGGCCATAATCAAAACATTAACCCTACAACTGGAACAAGTAGAAAGAAAGTAGCATAAGAAGCCCTCAGGTGCCAGAAGAAAGGAAATAATAAGAATTAAAGCAGAATTAAATGAAATAGAGAGCAGAAAAACAACTGAAAGAGTTAATGAGACTAAAACCTGGTTCTT